GCTATGACATGATTCTAATTCGAGCTCGGTACCGGTAGACCAAAACTTGATCTTCAAGATCAGAGCCTAGGACCTTAAGACCTTTTCGACATTCAACTTGAGCAAAAATAGTCCAAATTTAGTCAAAATCAAGCCAGAAATCTGAGCTTTGAAATTAGGTAAAATTTGCTCATTTCCTGATGCTTTTTGAGCTCCAAATCAGTACCATTTTTTGTGCTTGAACTTGAGCAATAAATTTTAGCTTAAAATAGTTACGATTTGATCCAATCACTGATGGGATTCTAGTCCGTCTAGATAGGTCAAAATTTGACCTTTAGGATCAGAACCTAGATCAGACTCGCATTGGCTCATTTCTCCCCGTTTTTCGACTTTAAACTTGAGCCAGAATAGTGCCAATTAGGTCAAAATGAAGCAAGGGACTTGAGCTTTAAGCAGCCGATTGTGATCTCCAAATCCGTACCATTTTCCAGGTCTCTCTAACCGTGACGGTTTGGACCGTGATGGCCATGATGAATCTATGCATCGCCGGCGTGCACTTGCTAACATTCGCTCGGATTCACTACGAGCAACTCTTCGGTCTGTCGCCCACTAAACTCTGCGTTCTCTCGTGGATCATCTCCTGGCTTCTCTCCCTTCCATCGCTTACCAACGGCCACGTGGCAATTTATGGACCAGCTGTGAGGACTTGCGTCTTCTCTCACTCGGATTCCGGATTGAAATTCTTGACCTACACTCTCATATTCGGGGTGTTTATTCCCGCGCTATTCTCGTCGTTCGCCTATTTTCGAATCCTTCAGATCCTGTTCCACAGCCCAATCGTTTTTCAGTCGTTGGGTTTGTACAAGAGTCGATTCCTGGTTTATTTCTTCTTGTTGGGGTAAGTCCTGAGCTGTTTTTGGCGCTTTAAAGACGTCAAGGAGGTGCCAAAAAAGTGCCAAAATCTCCATGGAAACCATCCATTCATAACGACGCATTTTTTCAGCCCATTGTACGCTCTTCCTTTCTACATTCTCACCGCGTTGGACCCGACGGACCCGCTGCGCATCTCTCAAAATACGTTATGGACCATCGCATGCACAATGATCGCATTCGTTCCGTGCATCGTCGCTCCACTGCTCTACGGAGCCAGTATTTTCATAATTAAGGAGGAGGACATGGCACTGACTGCTCGGACTCACAAGGCTCCCCCAGGTGCCTATCACCACGTGGCACAGCAGCACAACATGCAGGCGCAGCTCATCTAGAGATGCTCCTTGCTCGAACAAATGCGCTCTACTGCATATCTTCTCAAATTTCCCCTTGAAAAACGCCTAAAATTCTAGCGATTCCTCATCTAATCCCGGTCATTCCTCCCCGATTGCTTTCCTAATTTTAGTTGTTTCGAATAGATTTTTTCTTTCTGTGTGTCATTCTTGCCCCTTCCTTCTTTTCTCTCCATAATTATGTTTTTTTTTAAATGAATAATTCTCCAATTTCTCTTTTTTTTTCGTTAATTTTTAGCTGTTTTTTAGCATCGAAAATTGGCACTTAAAGTGTGAAAATGGGTGTTTTTAGGGTCAAAAATACATATTTTAGGTTCAAAGTAGACGATTTTCGCCGAATAAATTGAAATTCCCAGCTTCTCAATTTAGGCTAAAATAAAGGATTTTCCAAGGTTGAAAATTAATATTTTAAGCATCAAAATTGCGATTTTTGGCTTACAGAATTCAAATTTTTTTCGAGTTGGAAATTGGCAATTTTCTGTTTAATTTCCAGAAATTTCGCTCCCGAATTTCAAATTTTTAGCTTCAAAATTCACATTTTTAGGTCAAAAATATCCACTTTTGAGGTCAATTTCCAGCCAAAAAGCCCTATTTTCCTAATTTGTCCAATAAAAAATCTTTGATTTTTGGATTACAAAATGCACATTTTAAGACAAAAAATTATCATTTTTGGGTCAATTTGCAGCCTTTTCAGCGCTCGAAAAACCAAAATTTACAACTAACCAGTGAAAAGTTGTGGGAATTTGATTGGCAAAATGACAGCCTCTTTCAACGCCTCCTTCGCTCCTTCCAGACCGGCGATATCGTTCCATTTCACGTTTGGCTTCTCCATAACGATTGCACCCGATAGTTTGTCCTGGAAAATCGAGAAATAGGTGCGTTTTCGGCTATTTTAAACGCAAATTTCGACAAAAATTAATGTTTATTACCTGGAACTTCTTTTTATCATCATCTTCGTCCGACGAGTCTTTTCCGTCCTTCACCGGCTTTTTCTGACTTTTCGAATCCTTCAAAAACGATTTTATCTGCTCGGCGCGATTAAGGTACTGTGCCACTTTGTCACGTATCGCATTCTTCTGCTTATCGCCTTGTGATTCGTCTAGAAATATGGATTTTCGTTAAATTTAAAAATCGACTAATAGACCAGACCATAACTTTCTTCAGGCTCAATATTTCCTTATCAACTGAATTGGATACGGTAGAAAAACTCAAGAGCTATAGAATGATAGTATTTTTGACGCTGTATCTTGTCTCTGAGCAAAGTTACAAGACACATAAAAATCTATAGCTTGTATCGTTCTTCATAGACAAGCTACAGTACCATTTTGCAGTTTTCGAGATTTTCTAGCTTAGAAGACGCTGACGCCGTCAGGATCTCTAAAGGGAAATTCAGTGGAATTTCAAAGGGTTCAGAAGTCTTCCAGATACCATTCTAACCCCCTACAGTATTCCAGAAGAAGTCGGACGTCATCCGAATTCTTCAGAAGAAAATATTCCGGTTTCTCCATTTCAAAAAGCCTATGTGCCTACAGAGTTCCAGAAGACGTCAGTAATTCAGAATTTCGAGTTTTAGAATTCAGAAGATGTGGAAAAAAGCAACTATACACGAATTCAAAATTTTTGGCAAATTTAGTTGCGAAAACGAGGGGAAGAGGCTTTCGGGTTGCCATGAAACGACACCTTCAGCGCTTGGATACCAACTTTTTGAGGTGTAGAGTAAGAGATGAGAAATATGAAGAGATTTAGAGAAATCGATGAGAAAATCGCAAATTTCAGAGTTTCTATTTCGGAAGACACTGAAAACGCCGGAATTAAGCTGAGAAACTCTGTGAAATTCTGTTTTTTAAGGCGATTTTCAGATCAATTTTCTACGGTAAAAAGCATTATTTGGCGGGAAAATTCAAATTTTCACATTTCCAGACACTCACATTTGATAGCGTGCAAAAAGTACTCGATGGCCTGATCGTAGAACCTCAGCGCCGCGTCGTACTTGCCGGCGGTGTCCTCCTCGGTGGCTTTTGTCACCAATTCGATGGCCTTCTGAAAAAATTGCGAACATTTTAAATTTTCAGGTACGAAATCGAGTTTTTCATCGATTTCTCACAGAAAAATCCGTTTTTAATGCTAACAAACCTGTAGAGCAGTGTTCGACATTTCAAGTCGATTGGAGAGCGAAGATGGGCGACGCTGAAGAAAAAGAGGTTAAAAATCGATGGAAAACTAGTTTAGAAGCTGAAAAACGCATACAGAATGAGTGTAGATTGGGTGTAACAATAGCGGTGAAAATCAAGGTCAAATTTTTCAAAAAAAGGAATTTTTCTCAAAAAAAAGTCGAATTTTAAAGGTATAAAATAATCAGTTTTCTAGCGAAAAAAAAAGCAAAAAATCATCATAAGGAAGTGGTAAAAATTTCGAAATTTGACAAAAAAAAATAGGAAAAAATTCAAAAACTTTATTAGCAAAAATCAGCATATTAAGGTCGAAAAATAGGGGAAAAGTCAGATTTATCGATAATTTTAGTGTTCGACATCCGGTTTATCAGCGAAATTTGCCATTTTTATCGATTGTGAAATCAATATTAAAGCGAGAAAATGAGTCATACGCTTTTCGGTTTTTTCCTCGCTTGGCGCCTCTCGCGATCCTTGGTGAAAACGGAAAGTGCGTCAGTGGCGATGGCTGGCGCGCTTTGTAATATTCCGGCGGGAAGGTGACAAATTAGTGGGTCTTGCTGATAAGGGGCTTTGTTTTGGATTTTAAATTTTAAAGAAAATTAAAGAAGGGAAACTGAGGAGTATTTTAAGCTATCGAGCTAAAAGATTGATAAAGGAAGAAGAGAGTTACAGAGCTTAGAAGTTGGAGTATTTTTTATTTACCGTATTTCTAAAAGCCTCCATGTTCCAGAAAAATTGTAGGGGTGAAGTAGATCAGAAAATACACATTACTTAGGTTTTCCAGTCATTTTCTCTTTGTTTTTTCCATGTCAAAGTTCACGAAAAAGAATTTCAGATGTCTGAAAATGTGTTTCAGATTTTTGAAAATCGAAATACTTTGAAATTTGGAAAGTATACGGTATAATAAATACCAAACAAAAATGGAGATCTGGGTCTAAAGTTGTCAAATATTCTAGAAAATTTGAGCTAGATGATCTATGTCGTTTGAAGACATGGACCTAATTTTGAAGGTAGGTAGTCCCAAACGGAATATCTTCTTTGTATGATTTTTTCTTCAAAAGTTGTTAACTACAAAATTGAAGCTCTATTGTTGTTTGGTATCTTCTGAAAATTTTAATTTGGTCTGAAAATTCGTAATTATTTTTCAGGCATTTAAATAGACTTGCTTTAAACGAAACACGCTTACAAAATAACCCCTTAACTTTGAGCCAATTTATCTAGGTCACTGTAAGAGATATCAAAAAGTGGTCAACTGATAAATTGTTTATCATAACATCAGCATTATTTTATCAGTTAACAAATTTTTGATATCTCTAATGGGAGTCGAGATAATTGAGCTTTAACTTTTATCATTGAAGGGGTTGAAGTCCTATATTTAATTTTCAAGCTATCCAATTTTTTTTTAATTTCACGTAATTAAAATTAATAAATTAATTAATATTAAGTCACGGCCCCCCTTCTCTCCACGTTTAAAAATTGCCACGTATTGGAAAAAAATCAGTTCTCTGGGAAATCCCCCTCTTTGAATCTTTATTGTTGGATAATTTTCACAGGCACTTTCTCACTGATAAGAAGCTCTTTGCATTCCGCTGCTCATTGTTGTTTCTTTTGCTTTTTTCTGTCGATTGGTCCGATGCGAAAAAAGTACTAAAAGGCCCAAAGGGTCGCCATGTTTCGGGGTTCATGGCTAGGTGTTTTATCACTGAACGTCCCCCATGTAGCAAGAGATTTTATCAAGGATTTAAAAAAATTGAGACAACAATGAAAGGCGGCATGTAATGTGGCTTCTTATCAGGAAAAGAAGGAGTTTTTGAAAATTAACCGACAATGGTCTCCCAAAAGAGGGGTTTTCCGGATGACTTCTTGTTTTTTTTGTTAGGGGGG